ATCAATTGCTTTTTTTCTTTTCTTTTAAAAACAAGGAAGGGTTTTCAAACAATGATGTAGACACATCATGGGGTAGGACAGCAGGCCTGATCGATGATCTCGTAACTGACCCCAGCTCTGCTCCCGCTCAAATCCAAGAGAGTATAAAACTGCAGCTGACCTGATCAATTCCATAAGGTTATCAGCGTATTAAGAAAATAGGTAATTATTCTGTCGTCCCAAGGCAGAGCAAGGTATCTGACAAAATCGAGTTTCTACGTTTTATTGGTTCATTACACTAGTCCTGCCCTTATTCTTCTTGTGTCCAAGGCAGGGCAATATGTGCGGAAGTGTGGTGAAGTCAGGTGCGCGTCAAAATTATGACATAGATCTAGAAGAAACTGACATTTTTCTACCCATTTGGCAATTTTTGTAGATTTTTTTTCTTTAGGCTCAACACCTATTATGTCCATTCATAAAAATAAATGTTTGAGTGGGATTTTACTGAAAACATTGATCAAAAGGAAGAAAAACTGCAAGTGTGCAGTTTCCAAAGACCCTAAAACTTTGAAAGTCGCTAAACATTGAAGGCCATTTTCTCGCTAATTTTATCTGCGACATCAGGCCACCCCAACATCCTTCAATCGTAAATATCTCGACTTCTATTCAAGATTGATAGACGTTCTGTTTATCAAAAGCAAGACAAACGAACAAGATTTAAGATGATACCAATAACCCTACATGCCCCAAAATTGACGAGCACCGGATTCCGTTGGGTTGTGACACATATATATCTACATCAGAAATAGTACTTTTCAAAGCGGTTAACTATCTAACCTACACAAACAGCTGATCTCACTAACAATGTCGAGAGTTTTCGTGTTATTCTCAAAATCATGAAATGTGCAGTTACCTCGCTCTGTCTTTGGACGGCAGTTCATCCAGCACATAATGCTTGATCTTTCTCCAACTTAACACAAACGACCTCACTGCCTCACAAGCAAGTTCTTACTTACAACAAATGTTATCTCTAGTTTCAAAATAATGCATAAAGCTTGGACCTGTCTTTGGTATATCTTAGCAGAAATAATTCGACAATACTGGCCTTGACGCAGAGCCTAGCTTGGACTCTGTGCGTCAGGCACAGGAGGGAAATTATTTGGTGACAGAAGATGGGATGTGGAACAGAAACATAATCAGTTGCACTGATGAAAACCAGAAGCTATTATTACACAATCAGCAAACATTTAAAAACAAGATACAGCTAAGTGAAATACGATTTCTCTCGGGGGGAAAAATGACTTCAGAAAAATTGTAATAGCAACAACACTAAAGCCTAAAAATATTTCTTTCCACTTTAGTCCCTCCAAAATCTTTTTTTCTTTGTAGTACGTACCATTTCCAATGCCATTCAGGCAGGATATAGTGCTTTCAAAGGTACTTGTAACTGTTCATATTTCAACATTATCTTTTTATTTCAAAACTATGCACAGACAACAAACTTAAATAGGCTGGATCTTTTTCATATGTCGACTTCCAAGTAGCTTTCAATTTATGAAAAAGGAATATCTAGACATATTTATTTTCATTATATGACAAATTTTAATGCCACAGGATCAGGGGAGAGAAAACTTCAGAAAAATTTCAAGTATACATACAACACATCTGCACAGATCATAATCTAATACAATGTCTTTGGCAAACTTATGAAGTGGTGATTCTCTCCTGTTTTTGGGGGGATAATCTCTTTAGCTTTTATCTGTGAGTTTTATCAGCAGTCTTACATTCAAGCAGGCCATCTCAAATAATATCAATATCTCAAGTTATAAGGCAATGAAATTCCCTCCAAGCCCATTCAGACACAATCGGCATAAAAGCCATGCATAAATAATTGAGGCATTTGGTTTTTTCAGGTCCAAAATTTTTAGAACTAAAAAATCTTTTTAAATTAAATGTAGGTGTTTTTACACCTCCATTGAAAAAATTCAGATCATTTAGGAGGCGGGGTTCCAACTCCCTGTCAGGGCCAACTCAGGCTGAGAGGTGTACAACATCCCAGCCGAAAGACCAAGATACTCAATAAAAATTTATCCCCACTCGTGAATCGAACTTGGGTCTCTTGAAAGCGACAGCGAAGCACCTAACCACTACTCTGCAAATGCTGGTTTTTCTGTCCTGGTCCAGACCAAGAAAAAGGTTAGAAAAGAAATACAAATTGCTTTGACCCAAAGATGATTGCTTTTCAAAGCGTTCACAGTAAAGATCAGAACAGCTATTGAAACACTCAACAAAAACAGTACACGTTGGATAATGGAAAAAAAGAGACAAAAAAACATTAGTTGGAACATAGAAAGATGTGTGATGGCAACAGTACAATGAACTATTCACACACGCAAGTTGACAATGCTATATGTGAGGCGTTGTGGTGAAATTATGCGCTTGTCAATATAATGAAATCAAGGAAATTGGCATTTTTCTGACTATTTGGGCAATTTTTAAAAAAATTTGGGG